TGCGACCTGACTGACGTGACATTGATAGACATTATAATGCACAATACCTAACAGAGCCTGCAGTCATACTGCATAGTAATGGTAATCCTGCATTGGGGAATTGGGAAATGTAAATTATATGCATTCGGATAAAGTTGCACAAATTCAGTAGCATTGCAACAATGCAGGTAAGATGTAAAATGGAAAAAATAATTCTAATGAAAACATCTCCATCTGGAATTTCAGTATTTTAATTTTACCAATTTAACTTTATCTTGCTCAACTTTGAAAAGCAAAATTTTGTCAATTCAAATGTGTGCTCCAGCATAGGTTTTTGTAAGGTGATGCACGAGTCATTTATAAACAAAGCTTTAAACAGTGATATTTGCATAAAAAAAATAGTTGAGACAAATCAAAATTTAGTTGAGACTCCATTATACCTAATACTTATATGGAAACCGGTATGGCAAAGATTCGGGATGACTCCTTATTTCGCGACTCTAGAGTAGACGTTCTAACCACTGCGCCAGCGGGCGACGAAGAACACGAGATGGCACTGCATGCTTACCCCAACTGTTAAATGATATTGCAATAAGTATGCCGATTTCTATGCTCAAGTAAGTTCACTTTAACATTGCTTTAACACAGCTTTGAACAAGGAAGAGAAATGTGAGGGTTAAAAAGAAAAATAAGTGTTATTATGTACAATTTGTATAAACATGCAAACACAAGCTTCATTTAAGTGATCTGATACACATTGACCAAATGCTTCATTAAGGGTGTGCGGTTAATTTGAGTTTTATATGAGATACTGTTATTTTACATCACTTTTTTGCCAATAGATGATTCAAAAAAGAAAAGTTTATGCCAGGTTTGTTTAGTAATGTATAATTTCGGTGGGTTTGAAAGAAATAAACTATTATTGTAAAACGACAAAGTAGGAAAACATGATTGATTACGCTTTTACCTCTGAAATTCCACCAAAAATTTTCTGAAATTACACCCTTGAAACGAAAAGGGTAGGCAGGTCTGTATTAGGTGCATACACATTAATAAAAGTAATTATGTTGTCATCTACCTTAACATTAACTAAAAGTTTCCTAGCATCATCAGATTTGTGTATATTAAGAATATTTACATTAATTTCTTTACGAAATAGTATGGAAACCCCTCTGCTGTATGAAGAATCAGAGAAGGCATGTATGGATATACCTTTCCAATTTGAGTCATATTTTTCTTTAAATTTATCTATATAATGAGTTTCTTGTATCAATACTACATCGAATCTATTTTGTTCTAACCAAAGATAAAACTTATTCCTTTTTTCATGTAAATTAACCCTCTAACATTGACAGATATTATGTTTAAATTACACATGAAATAGTTCTACTATATATTCTAAGTAATAATGTTTAAATACACGTACCTATGTAATAGTATAAATAGTTCAGTTCATTTATATACAGCGTCATGATTGAGGATCTTGAATGTCTATTTGTCCCCTTCAGAGCTATCGGAATCGGCATTGCACCCTGAAACGTCACTGTCGGACGCAGTTCTTAGATCCTTCAGCATCTGAACGATATTGCGCTGTCTTGATTGTTCACGATGAGCTTGTTTTTGTTTTCGACTAATGCTGTCGCTTAGTTTCCTTTTTCGAACTTTTTTGGAGATTTTCTTCATCATGACACCGAGGATATTAGATTCCGGCCAGTGATCTGGTTTGGTATTAAGTGTCCCCGTACGATCCAGTCCCGATCCCCACTCGTTGTTATAAGTGGCTTCCACGAAGGTTGTGGACTGCTTAGCGGTTCTCAGCTTTTCTAAGAAGACTGGGACTTGAACACACTTGTTTTCAAGGATATCCTCCATGACCTCCTTTTTTGTCGACTCCCATTGTTCATTGGTTTTGATTTTTTTCCCAAGACGCAGGGCAGAAAGCGCATCATCTGCATCCTTAATGGTATTTGCTGCGTCCAAGTCGCCACAACGCAGTGCTTTTGTATATTGAAAAGCATGTTCAGCAGACTTATGTTTGACGCCACAGAAATCCAACTCGCAAGGAAAAAAATTTGAAAGGACATCATCGGCTCCACAAAAAGGTATAACATGTTTCTGAGGTTCATAGTGGGGGCATGATTTGTCACCAGGGGCATGCCCAGGCTGTTTGCAGACTTTGCAACATGTATCGGATGTACACCTTGATCTAGTGTGGTTAGTACTCCAGCAGTTGGTACAAACCAGGTTACCTGTTTTCTTAGGTTGTCCAAAATGAAATATTTTACATTGGACACCAGCACAATAGTTTGTTCTCGGTAGGCATTTCCCATCAGGTAGGGGTTCAATAAACATAAATCTTGTACCATTCAAAATACTTGTCATTCTGTTAGTCTCGGGGTGTCGAATCTTTTCGTACAAGATCTTGCTAACAAGTTTGACACATAATTTGTCAAGAATTTCAAATTTACGAACTCGCACTTCCGGTTTTTACGATGAAACGAGGCGGGTAAATAAAGCTAGCTTGGTTTAGTGTAAAATTCATCGATAAGAGTGCCATTCAAAACGTTTCACCTGTTCAAAGGACGACTTTGTTGCACAATGACATGCTGGTGAGATAATTATGTATTCGTTTCAAAAGTAACTAAATTATTTTCTGCCCCCAGGTTTTAAACTGCTCGTGGTAGGTATTGCATATTGCCAGCGACATTGTTTAGGTCTCTTTTATAGCTTACAGTCTAAGCATCATTCTTCAGAAAAGGGTGGCTTATGCATCAGATGTAATGAATAAAACTATGGGAGAAGTTAAGTCCATAAGTTAATTTTACAACCATGTCTACACATTCACCTAACACACATTAAAAAAATGAAGATATATTGAAAGACTTTTAAAGAACTGAATTTTTAACAAGAGGCCCACGGGCCTTGTAGGTCACCTGAGCATTATGCAACAATTTTCCAGTTATTGAATTTGATTCATGTTTTAAGCCAGATGCTATATGACATTCACAATTTTGATAGAGGCACCATTGATCATCATAACAATACACTTAGCAGTTGCTTAGCTTGGTTACTGAATACCCATATGCAGGGTAGGGGAAAAAAATGCATTCCAACTAACCAGTAGTGCCCCTAACACTGTGACATAAACCCCTGACCCTAGGTCCACACATTGCACAAATTTCAAAAAGGCACCCTTAATATAAAAAAATAAATAATTTTTTTATAAATACAAAAGAGCAGATTTCAAACAATAAATTCATTTTCAGTATATAAGTAGAGCCCCCACCCCACCCCTGACCCTGGGACCTTGAAATTCACAAGTCTGCAAGATTAGGGCCCTTGCTCATCATAAGTATAAAGGTAGTTCATCTGCTTTATACCCAGAGAAAAAGAAACATTTTTTCAAAGATTTAATGTATTTTCACTATGTAATCAATAGAGCCCCGCCCCCCTAACACCAGAACCCCTGACCCTGGGGCCATAAAATTCATAATTTTAAAAGAGGCATTCTTGCTCATCATAACTATGTACTTAGTTTATTTAATACCTAGGAGCAGAGAAGAAGATTTTCAAAGAATTCATGTATTTTTACGATATATAATTTATAGAGCCCCGCCCTAACACCAGAACCCTGGACCCTGGGGCCATAAAATTCACAATTTTGGTAGAGGCACTCTTGCTCATCATAACTATGCACTTAGTTAGTTTATTTGATACCTAGGAGCAGAGAAGATTTTCAAAGAATTCATGTATTTTCACTATATAATCAATAGAGCCCCCCCCCTCCCCAACACCAGAACCCTTGACCCTGGGGCCATAAAATTCACAATTTTGGTTGAGACACTCTTGCTCATCATAACTATGCACTTAGTTAGTTTATTTAATACCCAGGAGCAGAGTAGAAGATTTTCAAAGAATTCATGTATTTTCACTATATAATCAATAGAGCCCCCCCCCACTTACACCAAAACCCTTGACCCTGGGGCCATAAAATTCACAATTTTGGTAGAGGCACTCATGCTCATCCTAACTATGTACTTAGTTAGTTTATTTAATACCCAGGGGCAGAGAAGAAGATTTTCAAAGAAATCATGTATTTTCACTTTATATAATCAATAAAGCCCCACCCTAACACCAGAACCCCTGACCCTGGGGCCATAAAATTCACAATTTTGGTAGAGGCACTCTTGCTCATCATAACTATGTACTTAGTTGGTTTATTTAATACCAAGGAGTAGAGAAGAAGATTTTCAAAGAAATAATGCATTTTCACTATATACTTATTTAGCCCCGCCCTAGCACTAGAACCCCTGACCCCAGGGCCATGAATATCACAATTTTGGTAGAGGACTCAATGCTGATTACAATCATGCAAACAGTTTGACTGCTTGATGTCCAGGAGTAAAGAAGAAGATTTTTAAAGATTGCATTAATTTTAGTGGTTTTGGCCCCACCCCTCAGGCCCCAGGGGGGCAGGGATCATGAAATTCACAATTTTTGTTCCCCTTCACCCATAGATGCTTTGTGCCAAATTTGGTTGAAATTGGTTCAGTGGTTGCAGAGAAGAAGCTGAAAATGTTCAAATGTTAACACACTACGGACGACGACGGACAAAAACGGATAGCAATAGGTCACCTGAGTTAACTCAGGTGACCTAAAAATATATTTTGATCAACATCACACAATTTATATAACTGGCCCAAACTGGCAGATGATGAAATAAGCAGTTAAATGTTCTACTTTCCTATTTGTAAGCATGTGTCCAGTGGTAAGGAGCCTATTAGGAAAAAGACTGTACAAATGTTAATAATTGAGTTATAAAAAAAAAATTTATTTCCTTCTCATGCGGGACTTTTTTATTCTCATGTTCATAACTAGACCTAAATATAAAAAAATGCTGGCCTTATAATGAAGAAAGGGGCCTCTTTCAAAATAGATAATTTCAGGGCCGCTTGGTCAGGGGTACCAGGGGGGTACTTTGACTAAAAATAAATTAATGCTTTGAAATCTGCCCTTTGATAACCAATGGTGCCTCTTTCAAAATTTGTGAATTTCATGGCTTTTGGATTAAAACACGAACCAAATACAATCGCTGGAAAGTTGTTACATGATACTCAGGTGACCTATAAGGCCCGTGGGCCTCTTGTCTTGATATGCTGTACATCGTAAAGCGGGAAAGAAAATGACATTACATATAAACTCAGTGATTGGGAAGGGCTTGCGCCATGCGCCATAGTCGCATTGAAGTGAAAAATGGCGCATTAAATCAATCAATCATGGCGCCAAGGTGCGCATTCAATTTTTAGCGATGTTATTTGGAAATATTTTGTGTACGACCTGCTTTCTTGTTTTACTTTTGTTTTAAATGAATTCAATTTAAAACAACAAATCTCATTGGTTGAAACCTGTCAAAAAGTACTTCCGGTTAAACGAAGCACTTAGATGAGGTACAATACTTCATCAAAAAAATTAAAAAAAGACTTGCCTACGACATTTATTGCACTTACACATGATGGGTGGACAAGCTGCGCCACAGAAAGTTACAGTACAGTTACAGGCCATTTCATTAATGATGATTGGGAACTTAGATCTGTTGTTTTACAAACTACCCAAGTACAGGGATCACATACAAGTGAAAAAATTGCTGAAGGACTGAAAGGTATACTAATATTCTTTATTTTTTTTTAATAATTTCATTTTATACATGATTTGTAAATTTAATAGTGAATTATTTTCTTTTTGTCAGAAACCATCTCCAACTGGAAACTTCCTGTCCCTACAGTTGTGACAGACAACGCAGCGAATGAAAAAAAGGCCCTGGAGTTACTTGAATGGGAGAGATGTGGATGTTATGGGCATAGGATAAACCTGATTGTTAAACACTCTTTAGAATTTCCAGATGTTTCCAAAATTTTAGCAAAATGCAGGAAATTAGTTGGTCATTTTCATAGGTCTAGCAGTCTCAATGATTGCCTGATGGAGAAACAAATGTCTGTATTTAGTCATGAAGAAAAACTTATCGGTCACAAACTAATTGCAGATGTTCCTAATAGATGGAATAGTTCATTAGATATGTTAGAACGCATCTTAGAACAAATGCCTGCCATCATGGCTGTTGCAAGTGATACAAAACTCAGCAAAACTGCATCTGATCATGTCAAATCTTCCTGTTTGCGTTTTGATGAGCAGTCTGTAGTTGAAAGTTTGATTCAAGTCTTGGGTCCTTTTTAAAGAAGGCGACAGAAATTCTTTGTGCTGAAAAATGTCCAACCATGAATAAAGTTCTTGTAACATTAGCAAAAATTAAGTTAACACTTCAGAAATTTAGCAGTACCCCTGTAGTTAGGAGAGTTGTAGCTAAGATGGGGAAAGAGTTGGCAAAGCGGGCAAAATCTGATGAGGAAATTCCACTCATTGCAGCAATGCTGAGTCCTGATATAAAAGCTTGAATTTTTTTTACCAGATTCAGAGAAAGTATCTGCTCATCAGCTTCTTTTGGCTAAAACTTTATCTCTTGTTGATCATAACAAGAATGTACTTGTAAATATTAAAAGGGAAAAAGATACACAGGAAGCTTCCTCATCAGATTCAGCCAGTCAGTCCAGTCTCCATTCTCTGCCAGTCTTAAGTCAGTTGAGTGATGATGAGAGTGATGGGTGTTCTCCTGCTAAGAAAGTTAAAGATTCAAAATGTACAGATTTGGAAGAATGGTTTGATGATGTGACCTTTGTGAGTGAGGAGATGGAGTCACCAACTACTGTCATAGAGAGGGAGGTGTCAATGTATCTTGGGTCTAAAAAATCAAATGAAGATTCCCATTTGAATTCTTCTTTCATTATAGGATCCAAAATTCTGATGACTTGTTCTGGTTTTGCCATTTTCAAGTGTTTCACCTCTGTGAATAGTTACTTAGCTTTTTCCTTCTAAACAATATATCTTCTGCTAATACCTCAATGAAGGTTTCTAATAACCTAGTCACTTGTTTCATGGAGAGAGGCTTTGATTTTGTTTTGAAATAATTTCCTTACTTTACTTTGTTTCAGGTATGCACATCTCCAGTTTCAAGTGTTTGACGGCTCTGTCCATTCCATTTCTCGTGCTCGGGAGATCTTACTTGAAGCTTTAAAAAGAGTAGGTGTGAATTCAAAATTATTCGGACTGCATAGTCTCCTTAGTGGAGGTGCAACTACTGCCGCTATGAACAATGTTTCAGACCGTTTGATAAAGATTCATGGAAGATGGAAATGTGATATTTCCAGGGCTAATTACATTAAAGATTCAATGAACATAAAATAAAAGTTACAAAAAATCTTTATTTGTCAAACAAATAGTGAATACTTTTCAATACAAATAGTGAGTACTTTTCAATCCTAGCCCTTTGT